CAAACAAACAAATGTTAAAAATTATGTAACCTATGTAAGTTTGTGTTTATACATTTGCTGCCATTTATTTTGGGATGTTAGCATTAAATTCCTTAAATTTTTAAAAAAATTGTTATTGCTTAGCTTGATAGAAGAACACTATTACTCATAATATCTAGCCTTACTCCCTTAAATACTTTGCCTAAATGTTTCCAATGGATGGAGAAATGGATATATTTAAAGATATTTATTAAGAACAAAATATATTCCAGGTGTTGCAATGGGCACCACAGACACACTGGTAAACAAAGGGGTATAAGAGGAACTGAAAGAGAACAGGAATGGTACATACCTCAGGGTGGGGGATGAAAAGGGAGTTGTCCAGAGAAGCCTTCCTAGAAGTGTGTTGAGGTTGAGAACTTAAGGATGAGTAAGAGACTATGCATTGTACAATAGATGGAGTCATCTTAGTAGGAAGTGATACTCACCCTAAAGTTTAAAGACAAGATGAGCAACAATCTAATCTAACAGAAGGTAACAAATAGCAGATTCAATAAACAAGATTAGTTCCAATTCATATTATGAATATGGGAACATAATTGTCAGAAGACTTGCATTTTGATAAATCACCTGTAGTTTGTTTAAATGATAAGCTTTGTTACAAATGGTATTTTGGGATTACAATCTATAAAAATATTACATATATATAACTGCATATATAATCATGATAGATAGATAGAAATCATAACTGAAATATTTTCCTACAGGTCAGTACCCTCACCACCTTATTGGGAATGCAGTAAACATCACACCAGAGACAAGACATTTATATAAAAAACGTTACAAAATTCTAAAAGGCAGAGACACAAAGGGGACCTCTCAATGCACTACAAAGTTTGGCAAATGGAAATGATTTTACTCTCAGAAAACTATACACACACACATACACACACACATTTGGGAGTCATTAGAAGAGAAGGGAAGAGAAGGCTTTTTTTTGGTGAGGATTCAATGATCTCAAGAGTTAAGAGAACAGAACGTTGCCACCCCCCTCTGGCATCCTCTGGAAGAAATGGGAAGGCACTCTACTAATAGCCTCTGAAATCTGAAGTTATGTTTGAACAGAGGCGGAGGGTGTGAAGGCAGGAGACTTGCTAAAGCACCTGGAGCTACTCTTCAGGAGCAAGAAGAACACACTGTTGAGTGATTAGAAGGAGAGGGTCAGAGACACTGGTGTCTCAGTCCCCTAGGAGTCACGAAAGGAAGCAGACTCACTGTTCTGAGACACAGTGAGATGATCCTAGGGATCAGCAGCTGTGTTGCGCTGTTTTGGTGGCTGCTCTGTCAAGCTGGAAAAGGGGTAGGATGTGCACTGAAGGTGGGGCCTGAAAGAAGATATGGTGACCCCTGGAAGAGGAAGAAGTCAGTCCTCTGACATGAGCACGCTAGGGTACGACTGAGCATTGCCAAAGAAAAACCTGAGCACCATGTCCTATGAAACCATCTCATGAGCTGCGTCCACCAGTATTAACCTAAAGTAGATACAGACAGCAGGCACCTCCTCTGCCCTTACAAAGCTCGCTATAGCAGCAGCTCACGCCACCAGCACCTGCT